CATTTCCAGTTGATTTGCAACACAGTACTTGCTTAAAATTAACCAGTTGCTTCCTGGAAGATATAGTACAATAGCAAATGTACTCTCATGTCACATTTTTTTAGCCCTCTTTTTGGATTAATTAAATAAATCATGCAGAAAATATAACAGAGTTGGTTTTTTTTTGTCATTTTAGTTGCGTTAGATTTTTGTGACTCCATGTGGAGTTTTCTTGGCAAGGATACTGAAATAGTTTGCCATTTCTTTCTCTAGCTCATTTTACAGATGAGGAAACTGAGGCAAACAGGGTTTAGTGATTTGCCCAGGGTCACACAGCTAGCAAGTGTCTGAGGCCAGATTTGAACTCACAAAGATGAGTCTTCCTGACTCCAGGCCCAGGGCTCTATCTACTGTACCACCGAGCTGCTCCTAAACACTATAATAAATGCTAGTTATTTGGAGTCAGAGGACCTGGATTAAAAATTCCAGGTTCCTATTTGCTACCAAATATAACCTTGGGCAACTCATTTAACCACTCTGGGCCTTGCTTTTCTTCCTTTGTAAAATGAAGAGGAGCTGAAGGGGAAGGCATTAACTAGGCGTCCTTTAAATCTATTCCCTACCATGAAGGTGCATGAAAACCATTTACACAATATTTATTTGTTGCTAAAGTTGCATGCAAGAAAAGTCTTCCTTCAGTTACCATTTCCTTTCCTATCATTTTTCTTTATTACCACCTCAAAATGTAGATCAATGCAATGGTAATTTATCTTTAAATGTATGCTGCAAGGGCATGGCAGGGTCCCGCAAATTTAAATCTTAGTACTATTGCCACTTACTACCTATGTGACCTTGAACAAGTTATTTAACCTATCTGGGTTCCAGTTTCTTCATTTCTAAAATAAAGCATTTGTTTAGAAGACCTTTGAGGCCCCTCCCCGTTCAAAGTCTAAGATCAGATGATCTGTCCATATTTTGATCCCATCTTCTTTGATGTGGTTTCTCTTTCATACATCTTTAATCAATTTCTCTCCATTGGCTCCTTTCTCTCTCTTATCCCCAATCCTAAGTATTTTTAAGCCTTTTATTGACTCTTCTACCTCATCTAACTACTATTCTCTCTTCCCCTTCACAAACAAATTTCTTCATAAAGTTGCCTGTATTACGGTACATCCTTCAACTTCCCCACGATCTATACTCAACCTGACTTTAGCCCCTACTATTCTACTAAATTTGCCTTCTCAAAAGTCATTAGTGAGCAGCTACTCACCAAATACAACACACCTATCACCACTCCCCTTCCCCTCATTCTCTTTGGCCTCTCTACAACACCTAATATTGTTGACAAAATTGGCAGGGGCTAGTGGTGCAGTAGTGGATAGAGTGCCGTCTCTGGAGTCAAAAAAAATCTGAGTTCAGATCTCTACTCAGACATTTATTAACTGTGTATAACCCTGGGAAAGTCACAACCTCTGTCTGCCTCAATTTCCTAAACTGTACAGTGGGGATGATAATAACACCTACCTTGCAAGGTTGATGTGAGGATAATAAGAGATATTTGAAAAAAGTGCTAAGGATAGTGCCATAATAGGTGCTATATAAATACTTATTCCTTTCCCTTGACAACTATTTCCTCATGCATACTCTTTTTCTCCCATGGCTTTAGAGACTCTGTATTCTCCTGGTTCTTCTTCCTTCTTAAATTACCTTTTCTCTGTCTTCTATGTTGGCCCCTGTTCTTTTCACTACACTGTACACTACCTGTTTGCCAAGTTTACCAGCCCTGTGCTCTCTTTTCTCTTCAAATTCTCTTCTATGACATCTAAGTCCTTTGGCCCAGATCCAATCAGCAAATTGGGAGTTCCCTCGATCACCCCTGTTATATATGCATACAAACATACACATATATACACATACATACATACACACATATACACACATACACACATAAATGTGTGACCCTTTCTAGATCTACAGATCACAGTTGCAACTACTTTCAGCACAACTCAACCTGGATGTCTGACAGGTATGTCAAATTCAACATCTTCAAATGCCAAACTTATGAGTATTTTCCAAAAATCTGCTCTTTCTTCTGACTTCTCTATTTCTTTCAGTTGCACCAGCATCCACTTAATTCAATTAAAACATCATTTATTAAATGCCTACACTACATACTAGGCCCGGCACCAGGAGCAAGATGTTACAAATGCAAAGATTAAGTAGTCCCTGGTCTCAAAAAGTTTATATTCTTCCCTGAGGGTTGATGTGAGGCAGGGTACAATATTACATAAAAAAGTAAATACAAGATATTTTGAGAAGGGAGAGAGTTCTAACAACTATGAATAGCCCATGAACATTAAAAAAAGTAATAACTGTATTTCAATAAATTGGTTTCCTTTGTAGTCCTATGTATTTTATTTTATTCACTTAAAAAACATTATTCTGAGAAGGGGTCTGTCAGTTTCACCAGATGGTTAAAGGAGTCCATGACACACACAAAAAGGTTAAGAACCCCTGGCCTAGGGGGGTAAGGACAATAACTATTACAGTGCTCTTGAAGAGGGTCACCATGGACAAAAAGACTGGTCCAAGCCTAGTCATTTTACGAGCAGACTGTACTGGAAATGATTTGGAAAGAGTATCAAGCTGAGGTGAAATGTAAAGTACTTATTAAGTAGTTTTTTAGATTGCTCTGTTTATTCTGATGGTTCAATAGTCAGACTCCCATAAAAATCTAACTAACTATGCAGCTACCAAACCAATTTTAAATCATTTTGTTAAGGCATGCTCTGACTCATTTATGTTCAACATTGTGTGTAAATAAATTACCTGCCACATACCTGCCTTGTATTTCACACTGACTACCTTTTCTTCCTTTCCCTTTTGTGAGGAAGTCCTAGGCATGAGCTGTAACCTAAGCTATGTTTGTCTCCAGGGTACCAGTGAGAGACATGGGGTGTCTAACAAACCAAAGAGTGTGGGAAATGGAAGTGTAAACTCATCTCTTTTTTTTTCCAGGCTGATCAGCAAGCAATTGACTTAAATAATTCCTTAGTTACTATCAACCCTAGGAGATAGGATGCCCAACTATCCATAACAGATTTAGAGTCATAAGATCTGGGACCTTGAAGAGATCTTCAACACCATCTTAACTATCCTCAGTTTTCTAGATAAGAGGATTAGAGAGATCAAGGGACTTGCTTGGTGTTACAAAGCTAAGAATGGAGCCAGAACCAGAATCTAGGTCTTTTGACTCTCAATCTAGTGCTTTTTATGCCATCTCAAAGGTTTTCGCCCTTTGAAGCTTTGAAATTAATCACTTCCCAATGGGATATTTCTTTCAGTCAATCTGAAAATCCTCCCTTCTCCTTTTCTTTATATTCCTTTTACCATCCCCTTGCTACCATGCCTTGGAAGACACAGAGGGAATGTGACTCATTAGAAAACATATTTTAATATTCTGTAATCCAGCTGCCCTACCAGTGGTATTAAACTCAAAATAATAAAAATGGCTCCCAGGGAACGACATGTTGGCTTAGAAAGCCACAAACTAGCATTACCTATGTTGTACTATATTTTTTATTTATTTTGTTCAACATTTACCAATTACATTTTAATCTGGTTCCTACAGCTCTGGGGAATTTTGCTGCTACATATGAGTTGACTCCTCTCTTCCAATAGTCAACATTCCTTCAGCACTACATATTCCTGTGATGGTCACTAATGGATCTGGACCAAAAATTAACTGGCAGAGCGAAAATGAAATAAGAAGAAACAAAAGAGACAAATCAAGTTGTTAAGCCATAAGAAAAAACATAATCAAAGTTTAACACAAATAATGGCAGAGGATATATGACATTACATGGAAATAAAAGTATGTCTATGTTCTGTGCAAATATTATTCTACCCTCTTACAAAACACATTCGCACAGCTATTTTTTTCTTTTACCATAGCTAAATATAAACTTCCAAAAATATTTGTTGAGAATATACTAGAGAAAAAATAGGAAATTACTCATTCCCATTAAGAATTCCCATTAAGGATTCCTATTAAGAAAACTCAGGTCCATTATTTCCAGTGACGTAATATTCCTTTCACCCATCTATAATGCTTGCAACCCTCCAGCTCTTGACCCCACTTTTCATATTGTTAGCCATTCACAAAAAAAAAAATTCACAGAAAATGAGAGTATGGTGCAAAGTAATCAGCATTTTTGGAACTCTGCTCTCTCTTAATTTTAATATCATTGACTCCCACCAACTTTTTGATTGGAATTCAATGCTTTGCTATAACCACCCAGGATAAAATTCAAGTATTCACTTGCTCTTCTGGCACGTGGGAAAACTTTCCCCCAAACTTCCTCATAGACGTGCCTCTTTCTAAGAATCCTGAGCCTAGATAAATTACGGGGTTTCAAGAGCCAATATCATTGCTGTTGGGGGAAAAAAAAAGATTAAACTAAACTAAATTAAATTAAATTCTCATTTCAGCATTATTCTGAAACCACCTGTAAATGTAAGAATCATATCTCAAGCAGGGGTTCTTAACTTGGGGTTCATGGAAGGATTCGTTGGTGAACTGGGAGGGGGTATTTGAGCAAGAAAAAAATAAGTCTCTATGTTAAATAATCTCTAACTGAAATTTAGCATTTCCTTCAATTAATTAAAAACTTTATTCTGAGAAGGGGTCCATTGACTTCACCAGAATGCCAAAAGGTCCGCGACACACAAAAAAGGGTAAGACCCATTTAAAAATCCCACCTGGGACAGCAAGAGAGATAAGTGATCAGATTTCTCCTGTATACGTGAAAAGTACCCATTTCCCACAAATGCCCTCCGAGAATTTTCGCTTCTCCCAAGATTTATCTCCTGTCCCACTCCAAATTCTTCTTTCTCCCCAGGCTAAGGCATTCAAAGGATGCAGACCCCGCCTGCAGGGCAGCGAGCATCTGGGAGGGAGCCTCTGTTCCCAGGAACTGGACAACTTCCTCTAGTCCCCGCCCGGCAGTCTCGAGTCTTACCTTCCAGGCCAGGTCCAAGTCAAAATCCCTGGCGCGCAGAAACCTCAGCAGAAAAGCGTCCGTGAGGGGCATGGGCCAGTTCTGGCCGCGGTCCGCTTCTGCTCGCCGACGCAGCTCGCTGATGCCGGGCTGCAGCAGCGGAGAGGTGTCCGGTAGGTCGTTAAGGAGCTTCCCGCTGAGCCCCTGCTCGGACCGCTCCAGAGCCATGATGCTGGCGCCCGCGACGGCTGCTCCTGCTCCAGGCTCAGAGCTGCAGGACGCAGAGCAGAGACTGCCCAGCCACAGGCAGCTGTGGCTGCAAATTTAGGGACGAAAAGGGCGGCCGGTGCCGCTGCCTTTGCGGCCAACCCATCACCTGCTCCTCCTTCAGCAGCCGCTGCCAATCGGGACAACCCACCCTCAGAGGCTCTGACGGGGCCCGCGCTGCCCTTACATAACTGGGTCTCTTGGATGGCGCTTGGACTCTCTTTACCCTCGCGGTGCCAGACGGGGAGTGCCCCAGCTCAAGGGTCTTTGCCCAGCCTCCCACTGGAAATCGTTGGCAGCTTGCTGAGTCGGTTTCCACACACTTGCATTCACAGGGAAATGACTTCAATGGGACCTTTCTCTTCAATGCCTTGTTTTTTGCTAAAGAAATTGCAAGGATTCCGAGTATAAGTGCATTGATGGGGGTGTTCCTTCACTAATCCGAAAGAAAATGGTTAAAAAAGTTTTAATAGCCTTACTGGTTTTGGCTCCCTTAGGGGAAAATAAGTAATTTTAAAATATCAATAGTAAATCTACGGGATTATAGGATTTAGAATTGGGAGAAACCCTGGAGATAATCTGTCCAAACTTTTCCTTATACAAATTAGGGAATTGAGACCCAGAGAGAAGAAAGAGACTTGCCCAAGGTCACACAGTCAAAAAGGGGGCAAAGCCAGGGCTAGAAACTACCGTCCTCAGATTACTCTAAAATGGAATTCTGACTCCCTTCATCTTTTCGCCTTTTGAAAATTAAAACAAAAATGTAGGCTGTTTCCTTGAGATTATTTTAAGGATCTGTTTTTTAAATGTCAATCAATTTAGTTTGGGTTTGTAAGCTTATTTACTGAAAAATATGTGCCAAAACAAAGTTTAAATTCCAGGGTCTCTTATGCAATGCCTGTTCATGTATTTTTTTCTCCAATTTGCTAGCTTTGTTTTTACCCTGGTGACCCCATTTGACGCTTCCTTAGCAAAGAAAGATACTGGAACATTTCCTTCTCCAGTTCATTTTACAGATGAAGAAGCTGAGGTAAACAGGGCTAAGTGACTTGCCCAGGGTCAAACAGCTAGTGCCTGAGGCCAAATTTGAACTCAGAAAGATGAGTCTTCTTGCCTCCAGGCCCAGAACTTTATCCAGGGTGCCACCAGATAAATATATAGTAGATAGGAAGTAACCTTAAAGGAGATGGAACTTGGTGGGGAATGGAGGTGGAAGCAGGGGGTGATAATTGACCTCAGAACTCATAATAAAGATGTTGGAATTAGGAAATGAGATCACAAAAAGAAGAAAAAGTAAATAGTCAAAAGATAGACCCATGATTTGCTTTTAGAGCTATTTTGTATCTTAAACTTCAACAGTAATTTAACTTTGGTTATTAGATTAACATGGAGCAGTGATCATCAGTTTACCATATCTAAGGTTTTTAAAATTCAGCTTAACCAGAAAAATACTCACATGCCATTTCTCTCTTTGACAGCTTAGTAAAAGAAGTTTCTTTTGCTGTAAATTTGAGTCTTCATCTATAGCTCATTGCCCAAATTCAAAAGCTAATTATTAAATAGACCAGTACAGTCTCCTTAAGAAAAAGCATTAAGGGGGCAGCTAGGTGGGCTGTTCTTGGAGTCAGGAGCACCTAAGTTCAAATCCACCTTCAGATACTTGACACTAGCTGTATGACCCTGGGCAAGTCACTTAATCCCAATTGCCTCACCCAAAGGAAAAAAAAAAGAAAAAGCATTAACATTTTATTTATGTATAAGGATGTCTATTGTCCATATTATGCAATTACATGGACAACCTAAAGAGCTCATCCATAGTGTATGTATCTTGGACAGCCAGCATAAAATGAACAAGGTGAGCTCAGGATTGAACATGAGGAAAGTAGATTGGAAATCACTTTTTAAAAAAAATGGTATGACAACAAAATGCTCCTTTAATGCTCTCAAACTTTCTCCAGAAACAAAAGCCCATCTTTACGGTATCAATGTTTTACCAGTGTTATTATGAGGCTGCAAGTCTTAGAATATACACTCTCTGAAGTTCCCTCCAACATATGGAGCACACTTCTTGTGGCGAATTAATGGGAGTACAGAGGCAAGAGTTGCCCAAGATGAGAAGTCATGGATGGCTTATAATCTGCACCATTAAAGAGAAATTCCACACTGATGAGATCCATTTGAACATAAATTTTGTCTTAAAGTATAGGTTGATGTGATGCAGACTATTACATAGAAAAATAATCTTAAAATCTCATAGTTAGAAGATCACCTATTCTATCTGTGGCTGCCGAGAAAGCTCTTTAGAACATGCCCACACTAGGGGTCACCCAGCCGAGACTTGAAAACTTCCAGTAATGGGAACATACTAATCAAGGCAACAATCCATTCATACTATTTTAGACTCCTCTAACAGTTAGGAACTTTTTCCTTATGCTTCTATAAAATGAAATTCTACTGCTTTACATATTCTGCTTCATTATTTCTAGCTCTGTTGTTCAGGACCACAAAAAACAAACAAACAAAACAAAAAACAAAACAAAAAAAAAAAACCTAATCCCTCTTCCAATGTCAACCTTCAAATATTTGAAGACAGTTATGGTGTCCTTAAGTCTTTTCTTTGCCATACTAAACATTCTCATTTGGTTCAACTAATAAAAAACTTTACATTTGGCTCTATTAAATTTAATTTGATTAAATTATATGTTCATCTCTGTCAAGAGCTTTTTGAATCATGATTGTTATTCAACATGTTAACTATTTCTCTTAGATTTGTGTTACCTGCAAATTTGATGAGGATAAATCTGAAATCTATGCTTTTATCCATACTCTGGGGTACTGCAGAGGAGACTTCCTTCCAAGGTGAAATTAAACCATCAGTAGCTGTTCTTTAGATCCATCTAATTTCAAATACACCCAATTATACTATTGTCAAGCTCACATTTCTCCTTTTTTTTCCCTTTCACAACCTCTGTCAACTATCTGCTTAATATCTAGGTGGGCTTTATTTATTGAATTACCTTGAGCTACGAGTTTAAGACATAAAGATAAGAATCTGTGCCATCTTTAAAACTGGAAACTGTCAGTGTGCTAACTCCTTCCACCAATGAAGATAATAAGCGATCTATAACTTGACAGATTAAGTCTAGGAAGTTGGCTAAAGTACATAGAGGTTAAGTGACTTGCCCTGGATAATGTAGCTAATAAGTGTCAAGGATATATTTGAACCTACATTTTCCAGACTCCAAGCTCAGCATTTTATCAATAGGCTATGATATTTCAACATGAATTTATTAACTCCATCAAAAAGAGAAATATGGTTGGTTAGTCTGGTACAACCTTTTCTTGAGGAAATCATTCTGATCAATTATTTCCTGTCAAGGTGTTAATGATAGTAGAAAAACTCAGAAAAAAAAAAAAAACCTTGGATTTTCAGGCTAGTCTCTCCTGTTACCAATTATTTCTGTTGTAAATAATTTCCTTCTACTACCTGATAGCTGAAGTCTGTAAGAAAACTTTCATGCTGCAGACTTCCATCTCCTGTTTATTCCTGCCAACTAGACCATCTCTACCTTTGACAGGAAGGCTGGGAGACAAATCAGTTCTACTAGTTCATTTCCTACTGCCTACTACACATTGTCTTCATCCTTAAAAAAACCTTAACTAGACCCTGTCTTCTCCTTAAGTATCATCCATATAATATAGTTTGTACTTTCTCAGCCAAACTCCTAGAAAAAGCTATCAACCACTCATTGCCTCCACTTCATTTCTCACTCCTCAACCCTTTGCAATCTGTCTTCTGACCTCATCACTCAGCTGAAACTGTTCTCTCCAAAGTTATCAATGATCTCTTAATTGCCAAATCTGATGGTCTGTTTTAGACCTCATTCTTCTCAATCTCTTTGTTACACTTTGTACTGCTGACCATCTTCTCCTAGGATCAGGGGTCCATGAACTTTTTTTTTAATATTGGTGACTATATTTCCATACACTTGTTTTCCTTTGTAATCCTATGTATTTTCTTTTGTTAATTTAAAAATATTCTGAGAAGAGTTCTGTAGACTTCTTCAGACTTCATAAAAAGGTTAAGAACTCTGTTCTATCTATGTATTCTACTCTCTGGATTGTCATATTACTGCTGTCTCTTAGTTCTCCAGTCACTCTCCTTGTCACCTTTTCTCAGTTTTTTTCACTGGCTTCTCATCCATATTATGCCTCCTAATTGTGAGTATATCCTAAGTCTCAGTCCTGGGCCCTCCTCTCTCTGATCTTACATTTGTTAATCTCATCAGCTACGATAAGTTTAATTGTCACCTAAATGCAGATGACTTACAGATCTACATATACAGCCAAATTCTCTCTTCTGTATTCATCAAATGCTTAGACATTTTACCCTAGAAAGTGATTTAGTTAGTTGAGTAGACAAGTAACATGGTCAGAATTGTGTATAAGGGAAGTCACTTTGACAGCCATGTGGAATGTTGTTTGGAATGGGGAGAGACTTGAATCAGGGAGACCAATTATGAGGCAATCTAGGAAAGATTATGAACTAAGATGTTGACTGGGTGAGTAGAAGGAAGGTTCAGACATGAGATGATGTGTAGGCAGAATCAACAGGACTTGGCAACTGTGGACATTGAGGAAGAGTGAAGATAGGGTAAAAAATAAACTCCTTGTTTAGCTTTTTAAGCCCTTCAAAACTTGACCCTAACTTATCTTTCCAAATTCATTATATTTATTCTTCTTAAATTCTACAGCCTGGCCAAAATGGACTTCTCACCCTTCCTCACATTCGATACTCCATCCCCTCTTTTCCTACTTTGCACTGGCCACACAGTCCCTTGCATGCCCCATTTCTCTGTCTCACTGAATCCCTAACTTCCTTTAACACACAGTCTTCGTATTACCTTCTGACACCTTGGCTAACTCCCTCAAATGCTAATGACTTCCCTTGCTGCCTTATTTTTAGCTACTTTATATCTATTTTCCATTTATTCCTATTTATTCTATTTATTCTCTGTTA